AAATATTTTCAGAAATGTGGTAGGAAAATGAATTTTCTGTATTGCCTACAATCCTTTATGAGAAAGGATAATAAGAGGGGGCAGGGTCTGTGTGGGTGTCCAGGTGAGTTTCCTGTCCTCCAGCAGATGCAACAGGGACTGTGAAAAAAAAATTCTTTCTTTTTTCTCTCCAACGCTCATGCCATATGCACGAACTTTTGTTCTCCCTTTCTTTCTTCTCTTCTTTTTTTATTGCTTTATTTTTTCGATTGTGGCAAAATATACATAACATAATTTACCGTATTAACCATATTTAAGTGTATAGTTCAGTAGCGTTAAGTACACTCACATCGTTGTGTCTTCCTTCCTTTTTAAGCAAAACAGAACACACAGCTCTTAATAACCCAGGGCGTGGACATCTTCAGTGAAATAAGTCTTTATTTCAGAGTGGTCCTAGTCCTTTTCTATTGCTTAAAGAAAAAGAGAACTAGAGAGTTTCCCCTGCATCTCTCTCATTTTTAGTAACTGTAGAATCCCCTATAAAATACATGAAACTAACGATAATCTTCAAAACCAGAGTCATATGTTGTTGCAAGTAATTCAGTTGGAGAGGAAACCATTTCACATTCTGCAAATGGGAGTTCAGTATATCAAATTGAGTATAGAGGCATATTGAAAGATTTAGCTCTGTTTGGGGAAATTCCTAGAAATCTTGAAAAATTGCCTTGGCATTATACCAAATTGAGGCTATCACGATGGGACTCTCTGATTAAGTTGCTCTTCCTTGTATTTCAATCCCTTATTCGAATTGGGGTGATTTGAAGAAAGTTCATCATCTTGTTGCCCTGTGAAAATTTAAAAAAGAAAAAATTCTTACCAAACAGCTTATAAATGCACGCTAGAAAGGCTCTATTTCAGAGCTGCTGTAAATATACTGATATTCTTTCGTTTGGGGTATCATGCCTCAGGAGAAGTAGGTTCTAAAAAGAGTCACTATGTGGAACATTCCTCCTGGGATAAGGCAGTGTTGCTAACCAGTCACCAAGCAATTTGAAAATGGTCCTTGTGACACTGATGTTGGCCACACCTTCTGAATCACATGAGGTGAGACCACAGTCAAGGCTACTGATGAGCAGGCAACCAACACAATCCAGTGATCTACACGGCAAATGGAATGTTCTGAGCTTTCTCCTAAAGCAAGATTCCTAACAATAAAACATTGGAGGAGGTGCAAGTAAATGAAATATTAAATACTTTCTGGGTTTTTTTACTAAATTGGATGGATATTACCTGCAGTACACATTGCTATTGTGTTTTTATTTTTAAATGGTTACCCAGGACATATATAAAATGTTTCCTATATAGGGTATCTTCAGATTTAGCAAATAAAAATAAAAAATTACCAATTAAATTGAACTTCAGATAAACAACAGATAATTTTTAATGTAAGTATGTTCTATGCAATATATGTCTCATGTGGTATATAGGACAGACTTATACTAAAATATTATTCATTGTTTATCTGAAACTCAGGTTTAATGGGCATATTATATTTTATCTGGCAACTATATTCCTATAGTCTATTAAAAATTATATTTAGTTGACAAGTAGAATTGAATTTAAATTTCCATGTGAAGTTAGTGTTGTCTTCTCTCCTCTTCCGTTTTCAAATACCACTATTTCTTGTCTAAGCTTTTCGCACTCTGCTTCTGTTTCTCTGCCCATCTCACTGCACTTTTAGGTGCAGAATTAAAAATATATTTTAGTTTTATTTCTTATTCTAAAGAAGACAGATTTTAGAGATCTATTTCAGTTTTGTGCTTTATATTAAATGCATCTAAATTTCCTTATTAGCTGCATCTAAATTTTCTCATTTATTCCCTTTTCTTATTTTTCTTTTTATGTCCCTACTCATGTTTCAGTTACCTTATAACTGTACCTTGAGATATTTCATTTTGTTATTTTAGAGTCAAGATTAAATAAATATGTTTGCATTTGTATGCACACACGAACACACACCAATAAATGATCAGTATGGAAAACATGGGTCAAGTCGTTATAGAGAAATTTTAATCCCACAAGGGAATTATAGTATACCACTTTCTATAAAAGTAGGGGCAATAAAGGCCGGAAATAAACTAAAACATAAAGAACTGTTACTATTATTTTGAAGAAAAAGCTCTTTTTCTATGAACTTGGTTTTCTAAAGAGGACTGTCGGCTCTGAAAGGCTGAAGAAACAGTTGCCCACATCCCTGTTCCTGTTTCCCTATGAAGACGGTGGTGAGAAGCCAGAAAATGGTAGTCGCGACAAACCACGCATGCCTTGCTTCTGTGATCTATCTCAGACCAAAATGATTTCAAATAAAGAAAAATTGCCAAAATAAGGATTTAAAAGTTTTTATTTTGTTTTTGGTGTTTTATAAAAATGTTAATTGGAATAGACTAGGTTTCCTAGAGGGGCTATTTCTACAAAAAATTATCGTGCATTTGTAATATATAATAATTTCACCCATATTATTATAGTATTTCTATAGCTCTTCCAATGAAGGTAAGAAGAAAATTGGAGCTTAATCATGTAGAAAACTTGACCTTCTGACTTAATCGTGCCAAATTGAGGATATCCAAAATAGATGTTTTCTATTCATCTTAATTTCAATGTTTATAGCATGATTGATAATTTGCCAAAGGAACACAAAGGGTAAAATAAGTTACTTCTTTTTAAGGAAATCTGCTCTGATACTATTTCTTACTACCTAAAATGACTTACTCTGCAGCAAGCAGCTTCTTTTTGGCAATGACTCAGAAAGGGCAACTATAGCTTCAGAGACTGAACCCTCTGCAGTATGATTCAGCCCTAGAAACATTCCTGAAACTGCCGTAATGAGAACACTGAAGAAGTCCTGGGTCGTGCCAGTGGTTTAAGGTCAGACTGAATGAAACAGCCTTAAAAGAATGGGAAGCCAAAGTGCCCATGATGAAAGGTGGTCAAATTAAACAACCCTCTCTCTTTGTCTGATCTTGACCAATGTGCCTCTCAAGCCATTTTAGTTTTGGAGCCATCACTGCCGAGAGGTCAGGTGATTACACATTTTTCCATAGGAGGAATAATTATCTTTTAAGATAAAGTCCCTTGTGGAGTTGAGATCTCCATAATAGAGGAACCATTTTCAATACATCTGTATCAAAGTCTAAGAATCGCCTGGCACCGAACAAATGTAAGACAGCAAAAATTCAAAATCAGTTCCAGCACTCCAGGAAGAAGGTGACAACACACAGAAAGTAGAGGAAATAATTAAATGTTTTGACATCGTGAGAATGTATAAATGACATCTTTTCTCAAAAGAGCTGTTGCTGGCAATTCCATAAAACAGCAAATACATTTTATCCTTCACTGAAAATAATAGTTAATTGGCCAATAGGTGTCAAATTTTTTCACTTTATAATTAGTGGTGAAATTGTTTTCATTGGCATTTTACAGAACGAGTCAAGGAGATAAATGTATTTATTTATCCGTAATATTTACTCTCAGCTATTTCTAAAAAGGATGTGATTAAATCCTTATAATTAAATTAAAATCAAACCACACATTGAAGAGAATTTTTTTCATTAGTTGGAAAGAGAGTTAAGACCATACAGAGTATGTGAGAAAGTGGGCTAATTCTACTGATCTCCTTAGGTAAGATGGTTATGACACTTGAGCATTGAATTTAACTCTAGGTTCCAGGGAAAGCTGAGAAACATGATGAACTTCACTCTTTTCATAAAATGAAGCATCAGTTCTTCACAACTGTGCATGGAGGTGCAATTCATACTTATGCCATGCCTGAGTCGGGTTGCATAAACATCTAGATAACTGTGTGTCCACATTTCTGTAGATCTTTCCTATAAATGGGTTATGGTTTTCAACTACTCCCATTTCATACACATCCCAGTATTAAAGGTGATAAACATGGTATGTGGTATATTTTCACTATTTCATTTTTTATTGGACATTTTATCAGATACCACCTGACATTAACATGAGTGAAATCATTGAAAAAGAGAAGATATGGTATGAAAAGCAAGTAATTTTGTTCTGTATGCTAGATGATGTTTTGGCTTGCTAGGGTCAGTATATGGCAGCCCCTCTTCCCTTATTTTTAAGCTTGTTTTTACTACCTTTTTTTAAACTGATTCCATATGATAAAATAATAATAATAAAGGAAAAAATAAAATGGAATTAATCTGTCCTTTTATTTTAATTATCTTAATGGTCATTTGGGTCACAACAGAGTCAATCCAATCATCATACCATTTGTGATCATTGAAAGAGCTCAATAAGTTGAAAAAAACATGGGTCTGATGATACATGATTCATTCAATTAGCAAACATTTTGAGCTGCTTCTTCATGCAAAACATTAAGCTAACACTAGGGTTGAAGGATAATGAAATAGATACCTGCTCTAGAGAAGATCTCCGTGGGAGAACAGTCCCATGAAAAGTTATACTAGAATCTTATTCATAAAATAGGTACATACATTATTTTTGAATTAGGACTAATGAAGGCTTATTGATTGATTTTTAACCACATAAAGCAGGTACATAAAGCAGAATTATTTCTTGTACTAAGTAAAGGTATTTACCTTTAAAAATCTACATTTCTATCTATATTCTCTCTCTCTCTCTCTCTCCCTCTCATTCTCTAGCTATGGCTGTGCGACAGAAATCCCTAAAGGTGACTTAATCTTAGATCTTGTCAAGTGGCTGACTGTTTGCCGTATAGTTACTCACCTTCTCTGTGCTTCAGAATTCTCAGCTGCCAAATAAGAAAAGGTTCTTAGAATCATTAATATGTATAATTCCAATGAAATTATTTGGGCTCCTTGGAGAAAACTATACAGCCAGGCAGAATTTATTGTTGCTGTTATTGTTTGCTGTTAACTAATTTAAAGTAACTTGCAATTATCTTAATATCATGCCACCCATAAGTGATAGTGGGATATATTTTCAGAGTTCAAATATTGTTTTCTTTATTACAGGTTTCTTTTCTCCATGGAAAACTCCAAAGCCTGTAAGTTGGGATTATTATGCTTCTTTCTTTATTTCTGGTTATTATTGCAATCCCATTAAGTAAAGGTTGAATTGGGTGACCTCAAAATCTCTTCCACCTCTGAGACTCTGTGATGTCAAAAGAACAAATCCTCTCTGTCCTTTTGTCTCGTATTTGTCCTACAAATACAAGAATAGCCCATCTTACTTTCTTACAAAGATGATTCTACCTATTTTTTAATATACTTACAAAATGAGCATTAACACTATTCAGTATGGTGTACTGAAAATACTTTAGAAATCTTTATTTTTCCCCTGTCAAAAATACTATAATTTTTATAACATGGAATTTTTAGGAACAATGCAAATTATAGGCCCAGAGGTCTTGACCTGCGGATTAAATCTGTTCCACCAGAAATTTAGCTCTAGATATTTATGTTTGCATTTTAATATATACAGAACTAAATATATATGTGTGTCTGTATATATGTCTGTGTGTGGGTCGGGATTAACTGTAAATTGAGAATTGCAAATTTTCATATATATATATATTTTCCACCAAACCTGAAAGTCACTCAAAGTGGTGCTTCTGAATGTTCCTCAGATACTGGTGATCTCTGCCATCCCCTAACCTCTCTGGGCCTACTTCCTTTATGAATCATCCTGAAATGTTGATGCCGATGTAGGAGGCTGATGGATGTTAATAATCTCTCTGTAAGGCTAGGTTAACCATGTTGGCTTCACAGTTAGAGATGATTTTTATTTGCCATTAGATTGAAACTAGTAATTGCCCAAGTCCCAAGAGCTGGGACTGGTCGTCAGGGCGTGAGAATTGTCTACTCTAACTGGAATGTATAAAACCTATGACTGGAAGAGAACAGCAAAGTGATTCAAGTCAAAAAAACTCAGATGGGGCCGGCCACGTGGCACAAGCGGTTAACTGCATGCGCTCCACTGCGGCGGCCCGGGGTTCGCCGGTTTGGATCCCGGGCACACACCGACACACCGCTTGTCAGGCCATGCTGTGGCGGCGTCCCATATAAAGTGGAGGAAGATGGGCATGGGTGTTAGCCCAGAGCCAGTCTTCCTCAGCAAAAAAAAAAAAAAAAAAAAGAGGAGGATTGGCAGATGTTAGCACAGGGCTGGTCTTCCTCACACACACAAAAAACTCAGAGAATCACATCTTCCACCCACTTCTTTTCTTTCCTCTCACAGTCAGCAGCTCAGACGAAAGTGGCCCCTAGTCTGACCAGTGAGTAGGAAATTCTTGGGTTAATTTTATGCTTCTCTTATTTCCTTCACTGAGGGAATATTTAACTGCTTGGTTTTCTCATTTTAGAAATGGAGATAATATAATTTTTCATACTTTTCAAGTGCAATAACTGGCTTAATTAAATAACATGCCTTGAAAATGGTTTGAAGACATGTGAAAATAAAATTTTATTGAGCCCCGTAATATTCCTGAGCTCCAGCTTTCTCTCAAAGAGAGATGTGGAAGCCAGGAGCTGGAAACGAGGGACTGACGCTGTCAGAGCTGCAGAACGTTCTCACCAAGCATGTCATCATTTAGAATTTGGCTCATCTGGTCCACGGAGAATATCAGATGGGAAAACCAGTCCTATTTGGGCTTAGTAAACCACTTAGTGATACATGTGATTTTGAAAAGAAGTGTTTAAAAATGTTTAATATGAAATTTGTTTTATCTTGACCAAAATCTAAATAATTCCTTCCTTTCACCATCAAAGTTAAATCTGTGCTCTGTGGTTACACACATCTTTAATTTAACAAGAAACCTTGCACCCTCATCATGGTGCTACAATTATGCAATCTAGTGATTTCCTTATACGTACCACATTTACACAAATTACGCCATTTGGCATAATTACAGCATTTGCTGTCATTATAGTAATTACATCCATAGTCAATAATTCCAAAAAAGGTTTTATAGAACTCAATTTACAGTTGATCCTGACCCATACATCTCTGCAAAAGCTAAGGCTTGGACTTCCAGGTCCTAGACTGAGTGAAGATAGAGGACTATAGATTTAATGTCCTCCATGTATCTATCAGAAACGTTTTAGACTAAGGACTATCGTGAGAGGCAGTAGGGTATATGGTTTAGGGTGCAGGCTCTGATAGCATACTGCCTGGGTTCAAATTTTGCTTCTTCTCCTTCTAGCTATGTGGCCTTCAACTAGCTGCTTAAACTATCAGTATCTCAAGTTCTACATCTGTAAAATGGAGACAATAATAATACCCCTCTCGTATGGTTCTTGTGAAGAATCTATGAGTTAATCCATGTAAGGTGCTTAAAACAGTGGCTTTATATGTTGAGCTCAAAAATATAAACTACTGTCATCCTAGAAAGCAAACCCTCCATGCATAAACTCTTAATAAACTAATTACTCTATGAAATGAACATAGTTTGCTAAACTATTCATTTAAACAAATATATAAGTATATACCCACAGTATATGGATTTATAAACTCCTCTGAGGAGGATTGATGACATCCTTAGTCAGGATAAGGAAATATTATCTTGAGTGAGATCTCTCCTCCTCCTGGTCCTGTGTCATTCCCTGACCTCCTGATCCATATCTTAAGCTAATCCATGTCAAGATAGTCACTTCCTGTTTGACAAGTAATATACTAACTGTCGTGAGTTCTCATTCTCTCATTCTGGAAGGGATCCAAGTTCATCCTTCAAGTATAGAATCAAGCCACGTGCCTTCATCTCTCAGCTCTGCCCTAAAATAGTGAGGGCGTGTGTTTAGACTACTTCAGCTTCTGTAGGAAGCAAACGATTTCTAGATAGAGTATTTCATGGGTGGGTAGGGGGAAGGAGATCCTGCGTTATTCACAAGCCCTCTTCTTCCAGTGTGCACTCCAGAACCAGAAGGTGGGGTTAAAAAAATTAACCTCACCATGACTGAGTTTTTCTGTTTAATGTTTGAAGCCCTGTTGTGGGCTGTATGTCCACTCTGTCCACTGATATTTCAGTGACTGTCCTCTCATACAGTTGGGCATTCATTCATTCACCAAGCCTAGCAGAGATACAAGGCTTCTCCCAGATGTAGAAAACAACTTCGTTTCCATTTTTCCTTACTCTAGTGTGATGTTAACAAATATCGGCCTAGGTATGGACACCACTGGGACTAGACAAGGCCCAATCAGAAGCCTTGTGAGAGGTAAATACCTGGCAGATAGCACAGCTCTAGACCGGTCAAGGCCAGGAAGATGCTAGAGGTGGAGCGAGTGAGGCCCATGGACCTGGGCAGGGGGACAGGATCGGAATCTAGAGTTTCACAAAGGTTGAGAGGAACAAGTGAGCACAGAGTGTCCTAGTTGGCAAGAAAAGTCCAGAGACCAAGTTGTCCAAGAAAGTAAGGAGAAGTCAACAGAGAGCACCCTTCAAAAGGCACTGTCAGATCAGCACACAGCCCCTGTGAGCAGGGGGTGACCTCTGCTCTCAGGGCAGATGGTTTGCTCCATGGTCTTCTGGAGAACGCATATCTCAGTTTGGGGGGTAGGGAGGTGTAGGACTGTGAGTCTGCTTTTTCAGTAACTTCATGGGCGCAGTGATTTTCTGCTCTACAATATTTTAAGAAACCCTGACAGAGTGACTTGAGGGTTGATGAATATCACAGCAAGATGTTGTGAATGCTTTACTCAGCATGAACTGGACTGTTGACTAATTCCCCCATCTCTGTCCCACAGAAATTGTAGAATTTGTCAGTCTGCCACGGAAACTTTCCCAGACAGTGCCCAAAGCATTATTTGTTCTTTAGTTTTAAGAATGTTTTTAGAAATACTAATATTTCACCTAAAGCATGTCTGCTCCAATGACTGTACATGAACAATACAAACACCTGCAAGACTTATGTGTGTATCAGATAACCCTCAGTGGAAGACAGGAGAAAGAAATAGACAACTGCTGAAGCCCTATAATGATGAGTGGGATACTACAGCTACTCAGACCATATTTCTAATTTATTTACTTTTTAGAATTTGGTATCTTATGTTTAGAAACAGAAGGGAGATGGTCACAGCCAGAATGCATCCACATGGTGCCTAAAGTCAGTAAAAGTGAAAAATAAAAAAGAATATGACTTTTGCTACAAATATGATTCTTTCCATCATAGCAAAGACACTGAGAATGGATGACCAAGGGAACCCAGATTGGCTTTCTAGATGAATTTTGCTCAAATGAATTATGAAGTGCATATTTAAAGATTTTTACTAAATGGGAGCAAAAGGCCCACTGAGCAGAAAATCAGCCAAAACTCCAAGCAAATTGACCAGTTATTCTCCTCAATGTATCATTATGTAAAAAAGCACTCCCATTATAGTTATAGATTGGTTCTGACCCAGAGTCTGCCGCTGACAGCTGCTGGACCTCTCTGCACTCCTAGAGATTATGTTTAGTATAAGGGAACTGACCTCAACTAAGGCTTGTCCATCCTTGTTAGCTGTAGAACATTTGTTCAAATGAAATCTTGGTCAGTAGCCCATATAGAAAACAAATTAAAATGAAGCCAATTGTCTTGGTCCCTTCGGACTACCATGACAAAGTGTCATAGACTGGGTGGATTATAAACAACAGAAATTTATTTCTCACAGTACTGCAGGCTGGGAAGTCCAAGATCAAGGCACTGGCAGATTCATTGTCTGTTGAGAGCCCATTTCCTAGACAACCATCTCTTCTCTGTAATCTCACCTAGCAGAAGGAGCTAGGGAGCTCTCCTGGGTCTCCTTTATAAGGGCACTAATCCCATTCATGAGGGCTCCACCCTCGTGTCCTAATCACGTCCCAAAGGCCCACCTCCTAGTACCATCACCGTGGGCGTTAGAATTTCAACATACAAATTTGGGGGGGACTCAAACATTCAGACCATAGCAGCAGTCTTATTGAGAGAAGGGTCAGTGACCCATTTATTTCCTAGTTTGCTGGCTCACCCAATCCCTGCCACAGTCCCAAATACGTAAGCAGGTCATGAGGAGCTTTGCGGTACACAGTGACGTGCACAGTGCGTGGTACCTCACATCCCCTCCAGCTTTAAAATATTTGTGATTGAGAGATCAGAGCTGCTGTTGGAGCCCTGGCCAAAATATAGCGAGTGTGAAAAGAAAAGCAGGACACTGCAGTATGGGACAGAAAGTTATAATCCTGCCAAAATAGTGTATCAAAACTAGTTTTTTAAAAAAGAACAGTTATGAGTCAGCCAGATTTTTTAAAAAAGGAACAGATAACCACATTTTATTGATGATTTCATTCAATCACTAAATTAACATTTTCTGAGCACTTAGTATGCGTTAGTAATACAGCAATGAGAAAGACTCTGTCCCCTGCAGCCTCTGTCCCCAACATGATCTATTTGAGGAGACATAAGTAGACTTATCATTACGATTGGGTGTGATGAGTAGTGTGAAGGGTAGGCAGAGGGTGCTGTGGGAGCACCCAGGAGGGACGTGTAACCAGATCAGGAATGGTCAGCAAAGGTCTTCTAGAAGGGACGTGTCATCAGAATCTAGTAGCCAGGTAAAATGAAGACGGGAGATTGAAGAGCAGAAAATGGATAAACTTTGCAGGTAAAAGGAGAAATTAAGAAAGTATGCAAAAGTTCGGAGGCAGGAGAGAACCTGATGGATCCTAGGGAATGAAAGGAGACACCATCAGCAGGTAGGAGAAAGGTGAGCAGAAACCGGGTCCTGAGGAGCCGCTTAAGGCCCTGCTAGGGAGTTTGGCCTTTACGCTGAGGACTATGCTCAATTTTAGGCAAGAGGGTAGCCTAATCTAATTTTTACACAAAATAGGTTTAGTCAAAGCAGAAAGGTAGAAGTTGAGTTTGAATGAGGAATCAGTTGATTGTTGAATGAAGGTGAAGTTGATGATGCAAATAGGTCATCCCGGTGACCCTGGCTTTCTTCTTGATGGAAGGATACTAGCTTCTGCTTTATCTCCCTCGCAGCGCTATGGTGAGGATCAAAGAAGAGACTGTATGTGAGAGAGCATGGTAAACTAGGAAGTGTTCTATAGATCTTCAATAAATTATGGTGGTAGCAACAGCAGCAGCAGCATTTTGGGGAAGAACCTGCCAGATTAGCAGTACATGAGGCTTCACAGAAGACTCTGAACAATTCATAAATCCCAGATGGTTGTATTATTCCTTATAAACTATAAGGAAAGTGACTGAATGTTTCAGTTCAGGAGATTGTTGGGATATGCATAGGTGTCAAATGAATGAATACCTGCAGACTACTTGATTTTCCTCTGGTTTAGTCAAAATGGTGTAACGTATTGGGGCCATCTTAGAAAAGAATAATACCATACAGTTCTACACACTTAACACATAAATTATCTTGAGATTCATGTTATCTTTATTTTATAGTGAAAGAAACAGACTCAGAGAGATTAAGTGATTTGCTGAAGATTATCAGCTGATAGGTGACAAGGTTAAATAAGTTTGTATTCAAAAGTCAGGCACCAGTTGTAGTTATAACAGTCTGTGGTGCGTTATTATATAGAAATAGAATCTTTTCTCTCAAGGCACTTATACCAAAGTTATAAGTGTTTCTTGGAAGCATTTGTGGAAGTTTGTCTGCAGGGCAAGAAAGTCTAACTTAAGATGAGGGTTGGGGTACGTGACAAGGGAAATCACAAAAAAGAATTCATCGTCAATCATTTTCTCTACTCTCTTTCACTTTCCAGATAACAGACCGATGGGAGAACCAAGGCAGTCCTCAAACAAGTCTATCTGCTCCGGCCATACCGCAGAACCTGCCCTTCCCACCCGCCCTTCACAGGAGTTCCTTTCCTGACTCAACAGAGGCCTTTGACCCCAGGAAGCCTGACCCTTATGAGCTCTACGAGAAATCTAGAGCCATTTATGAAAGTAGGCGTAAGTGAAGGCTACATAAAACAAGGGTACATTAATAATAGCTGAAGCCCTGCCAGGAGATGTATTGAGGCTGAAATGATCTGGCATGATTTTATATTCTGAGGTTCAAAAATTGTGTCAAAAGTAAAGCCAGCTGATCTAAACGTTTCTAAAAAAAAAAAAAAAGTCTATCAACTCTTAAAAAAAGAGCTTATGGGGCCGGCCCGGTGGCGCAAGCGGTTAACTGCGTGCATTCCGCTGCGGAGGCCCAGGGTTTGCCGGTTCGAATCCCGGGCGCGCACCGACGCAGGGCTTGTCAGGCCATGCTGCGGCGGTGTCCCATATAAAGTGGAGGAAGATGGGCATGGATGTTAGCCCAGAGCCAGTCTTCCTCAGCAAAAAGAGGAGGAGTGGCAGATGTTAGCTCAGGGCTGATCTTCCTCACAAAAAAAAAAAAAAAGAGCTTATATCTTTTGGTTTTAACTTTTATAACTTTTGGTTTTAGCTTGGTTTTAACTTTTCCTACTTTTTTTCCACTAAGCCCGTGAGGAGAATCAGGAATGTGTATTTGAGGGAAGCGAAGGAGGTTGCTAGTTTTGTTTTTCACCAAATAAGAAGAAGAAATGTTTGGGATTTTTTTTTTGTTTAATCTGATCTTGAGTCTGAAGCTTAGATTTTTCTTAGAGCCTTGAATGCAGTCATTGAAGAATTTAGGGCCATGAGGAGAATGTTAGGCAAGTCCTTCCAACTCACAATCGTGAAAGTAATGGTTCCAAAAGCAGCACAGAGCCAGGGGCCCATCATTTCCACCCAAAACTTCTGCTTTGCATTTATGCAGTAGGGCCCATTTGAAAGTTCAGTCATAAAGTATCGTGTATGCACTTGTCATCCTATTTGAAGGTCTTCTAAAATTATTTCGTTGTACTATATAAATATTAGAAAGCAAAAGTTTTTAAAATTGCATGTACATTCATTGTGCCTCTTTTCACCATCTAACAAGTCATCTCTTCCGAATGTTAGAGGACAGGGATCTGAATGGCATAAATGTATAATCTGTGAGGGAAAGACACAGTACACTCTGAACCTGAGTGAATGATCAAGGAACCTAGCCTAGCAAGAAGGGATTGGTCCCTGGCGCTCCCATTTGTGGTCTGCTGATTTCCTTTGTTTCAGTGTTCTGCCAATGTCTTCTTTCCAACTTTATCATCTGAAGCATGAATAGCAAATTTTAAGTTGTGTGTGATCTCAGAGGATCTCAAATCTGCTTACTCTTCAATGAGCTCAGGGGCTAAGAATTATGCACCCAGCTGGTAAGGGAAAAAGTAGACATAATACCTTCTCCCCAACCTCTACAACTCTTTGTAGAAGTAATTTTGGTTGATAAAATAGTCAGGACAGCAGGCCATTGAGAAACCATTTTCATCCACATGAATCTCCCCCTCCACCTCTTTTTTTAAAATAATCAGCTATGTCAGGGCTACTGTATTTCATTCTTCCTCTCTGGGTGAACAACTGAAATGTCTTTAAAGGATTGTATAGTTAGAGTGTCTTTGCTGTGGTAGACTAAGAACAAAGTAGGCATTTTCAGCTGTATAAGGTAGGGTATGAATTCAGGGTATTAATGGTCATTAACCTGAAAAAAAATTGAAAAGATTTCAGCACAGCTCTTAATACCTTTTCTGCTTCAATAATCATTTGCTGAGTATTCACCTTACTCTTGGTATTGTGGGAAGACACCAAAGATGAGTGATATGTCCTGTTCTCACAAACTTAACTGGGGCAATAAGAAGAATAAGTGTAAACAAGTGGAGATCGAGACGCAGGAGAAGTTCTAACTTGGAAGGTTGAAACACATTGCAGGATTTAAATGTCATCCTCAGGTCCTCGGCTTGTTTAATTTTTCGGTTACGTTTAGAGAGCATCAAGAGATGCTTCCTCCTGTTTTGCAGTTTCCTGACCAATGCAAAGCTTTATTATTCAGGACAAAGGCAATGTTGGTGTTTATTCCATCTTCTCTTGATGGTGTCTCATACTGTTGTGCCCTCAGTTTCTGAGCAGGAATTACGCATGACCTTCTTTTCAACCTGAAAAGAATTCTCATTTCTTCATCCAGCCCCTGCAATGCTATTTCTGTTCGTTGCCTTTCCACTCCTCACCTGGCACTAACTGAGCAGACCAATCCATGAGCAATCCAGTCCTCCCCTCACTTTCTTTCTCAGTCTTCCTCTGGGAGCTCTTTATCCCCTTTGCTACTGCAGCCAAAGGAACAACAAACATCCTGACTCCCTGCCCCATCCCCCCGCCCCTATCAGTGCCCACATATGCCACCGCTGCCACCCCTCTAATCGTGTTCCCCCTTCTTGTTTTCATCAGCTCTCTCTAATGTTTCTAAGGTCGCAGTAATGTTTTCAGGGTCACAACTCTTAGGAAGCCAAAAGAGGGCAAGCTCATTTTCTTTCCCATCCTTCTCTTTTCTATCGTGTTATTTCATAACACTAAATGGAGTGTGAATGAAACACAGAAATCCTGTCAGGGTGAGAAAAGCTCTACCCCGAAGAAGAGGGAGACCAAAAAAGCAAGGTGCCACTTTGCCTAGTCTCTGGATAGCTGAGCGGTTCCCTCTACGTGTGGACATGCAAGTGTCTGGAAAGAACAAAACAGCCTTCTATACTTCTCCTGTTTCCAAGTATGAAAAACTTTCGTTCTCTCATAAATTTTTAAAACAATACCAAAAAAAAAGTTTTTAATGAATGAGGGGAAAGCTCAGTCTATTTCTCATCATCTTCAAACAGGTTTCTTCTTTTTTAGTGACCATGAAATGTATGCATCCAAACAAAAGACCCATATTCAAAGTTTTGTTTGAGAACCACTCCTATTCTTATTCCTTTGAATCACGTGCATAACATTTAGGTTTGGCTCTGTTTATTCCTGAGTCCCCGAACTTTTTCCTGAGAGAAACATCAGTGGGAACAGAGAAAGTATGGAAGGGACTCCTCACCAAAGCTGTCCAAACCAAGTCCTTTGACATTTTCCTTGGCCAGTAGCAAGCTCTTGGTATCCTCCCTGACAACAGGTCTAAAGCTAAAGGGAGGTTTTGCATTCACATTCAAAACAGGCCTACAGTAATGGAATAAAAGGATGTACCTCCACCCACAGGCTTCTGCTGTACAGAGCCACAGAGTATTTGTCACATCAGGGCTGTCAAGAAGTATTTGGATTCAAGTCACCAGTCTCCTGCAAATGATGGAAATTTATCAAATGATGTAAATGCTGCTGTGCCTCATTTGGCTCATAATTAGATTATGCTGACATTTTAATGTGCATGCACAGGACATCTTAATAAAGATGTATTCCTGAAAAAAAAGGCGGTGATTTTAAACAAAGAAAGACAACCGTAGGATCCTAGAGCCACATGAAACAGAACATGACAGGTACACGCTTATGAGAGGAAAGCTAGGAGCACCTCGCTTCTTCATGAGATCTCCTTATGATGAGGTGGGACTGAAGGAAGAGAGAAGGAAGATTCTTCACCCAGCAGGCAGGGCGATGCCTCTGACTTCAGAGCATCAGGCAGGGTGCCCGGAGGTGGCACCTCCAGGCTCCGCATCAATCAACAAGAAAGTATGAAACAGTATGTGTCTAGAACTCTGCTGGGCACTCCACAAGAGAAAATTCACTAGAAATAATCTCTGCTCACACAAAGCTTACAGTGAAACTGGGGACACAAACAAAAACGTAGGAAAACAATTCAGGAATGAGACTGCATTACACAACACAGCAAATAATATCAGGATATTAACATGTGAAATTGTGCAGTAAATATAGACAATAGTTTAAATATAATTAGACCAATAGTTTCTCATTCCATGTGCAAAACTGATGTTTAATCAAGACAATGTCATGTATTAATATCTTTTAATTATCAAAAATCTCATTAATCAATGGAGAACTCTGTGCAAACATAAATTTTTTTCTAACTTAATTCCACATAAGCTTAAAGCTTATATACATGAAATAAGAACCATGCCCAAAAAAAATCCCAAAAGAAGTTTTGAGCAATGAAGTTTCTGGATTTCATGTTAATGATTTAAGCATTGACCCTCTCTCATTACCAGCAATTCCCAGAAAAGAGCAAAACTCTCCCAACCTTCATCTCTACCCAAGACTTTTAGATAAACATCACTTTTCTCTTTGTGCAATGGCCTCTGTTGATAATTGACTTCTTGCTGTCCCCATTACTTGCATTTTTTAAAATTGAAAGCAAAGGAAAATACCCAGCTTTGTGTAATGGGATAAGCCATGCTGTTTTTTACTTCTCCCTTCTCTGTCCTTTTCCCAGTAGTCTCATGAAAGAAGGACTTTATTTTCTTTGCAATCACAAGAGGAAGGGCTTGAATTTTCTCAGTCCGTGTGCTAACATTCCGAATGTTGGACTATGTACACCATTTCTAACCTTGAAAAAAAAAACTATTTCTGAAGGCCCGCACTGCTTTCCCCCTCCCATCTCCTCCTGCCATTCTTTCTCCATACACAATTGCGTCATTGCTTCCACCGCGTATTTCTGATTTGGTAAGAAACATTTTGTAATGGCCTGCTTACCCGTGAGACTACGTCAGGTGACTACACGTGCCATCTGCCCAGGACGGTCGTACTCTGTGTTGTCCTGGCATAATATTAATAGCTCCCCTTTTACTTGCCAGAATGTCCTCATTTGAATAATAAATTATATGGTTTCCCTTAATGACATAATCTATTAAAAAAATAGACATCATTACTGTCCAAGAAAAGCATATATCTAAATGCACAGACTATGAATACAAGTTTTAATACCTACTCAGATAAATAACTTCTTTCAAGTTAATTTATTTGGCTGACTGAATTTTTGCCCATACATGTTTTTTTCCTAATTTGAGATGAAGACTTATGTGGTGGCTTGTCTTGGTAGCCAAACTCCCAATGAACTCTCTCCATACCCAGAAAATTGTACATATGTGCAAATCTAGAGCATGGCAAACTAAGTAGGAAAAGTAGGTAGCAAGGCTTCACTCGTGTAAGTACTATGCCATGGAGTCTCAGTCTTATCACAGAGAATAAATCAGATTCGACATCGCAATAATCACAGGACCAAAAGGGAGTTAATTTTGTCTGTCTTCTTGCCCCTAGGAAAGATTACACTTAAATAACTGCAGAAAAATGGTTATCATGGCTCTTTTTTTAAATGCCAAGCAAGGCAATATAAAGTGCCAACAAAAATGAGCATGGCTCACTTTGGAATCTTACAAAATAAAGTTTTGATCATGCTAATGAATGCGGTGATTTAGGAGAGAGCGCCTGTCATGTTGCTTCACTTTTCTTTAAGCCGGACTTATTCTAAAGGTTTGTTTTATCATCCTCAGCTCATGAAACCATTTCTTGGGCATACACCCCACCACAGCCTCAGAACTGGGGCAGACAAGCAGGAGGAAAACAGAAATAGAGAAGAAAAATCCTTGTTCCCTGAAACTCTTCCCTCATGATTCTGTCCCTTAGTGTGAACCCAAGTTGAATTATGACTGAAGTTGTCCAAACTTTTTTCTTTTCACCTTGAACCTTGGTTATTATAAATAAACAATTTATGAGGTACAACATGCCCATACTCCTTTGCAGTAAGACATCACTCAAATGTAAGATCATAAAAGTGTCAGGGATCCGTCTGGTGCACTGTGCCTTATGGTATAACCTCTTTAGAACAGAAATTCTTCTGGAATTTCTTTAAAAAGAGTTCACACGATCAATTTTTCTTTCCAGAAATTAGGAAGCATCAACCCGTAATAAGCAATGAGTATCTCTCAGCAAAGGTAGCAATCAAAAGTACCCACAGGCAGGTAAAGAGCGTAATGGAGGAGCAAACTGTTTTTAGTACTGTCCTTGAAATGAAATTATAATTTGTAGCCGATCAAAAATAGACAGTTGTATTTTCATATCTGTGGCTTTTATCCTGCTCTCACGTGCTTCAATATTCATTGTGGAATTCTGTTATTGTTCAGTATCCTAATGCACACATAATTCATGCTGATCACAAATGGGTGATTGTATTTCTAAACTATCGGTTTTCTGCTGCTCTTTCCTTGTTATTAGTGAGCAGGGGTTGTAGTTTGTGCTGTCTCCCATCCTAACAGGCGAACCCCTTGGAAAGATGGGGTAGTATAAAAATATTAGCCACCACGACACAGCGCTTGAGACTGTAAATGGAAACTGACGGTGGGAGCCACATCACGCAAAGTAGATACACAAGACCCACAGCGCTCAGAACCACAGCCCCAAAGCCTGTGGGAGTGCTTCCGCTTGAGCCTTCCTGTCTCCAGTCTCCTTTACCGAGACGATTAAACACCTGACACAGTCAAGCTGGAAATATCAATAGATTTAAAAAGGTTTTGATAAATTCATGGATGCCATAGCTGCAGGCAGTATTAAGTGGTCATGAAAGGCCACCTTGCCTTCCTCGAGAACATCCACATGTCAAAACACTGCTCTAACAAGCCCTGGCCTCATTTGCTTGGACACTGCTGGTGTCCAGTGGCCTTAAAGTACCACCCACAAATTTTCTCCAGAGCACTATCTTATTTTAGTGAAATATTAAAATAAGATGATATGTAAATGTTAAGACACTTTTACCAGGGACTTTAGCATTAGAATCATGAAAGACTAGAAAAAAATTTAATAACATTATCATTTTAAATGTCCTTGACTGTACTATGAAGGTTAATTTTCTGTACCTTTTTCCCATGGGAAAACCGTTACTGCTTTCCTTAGATTAATTTGAGCTATGATTTGATCTCTGAAAAAATTTGCCTTTCAACTGAAGTTTCTAATATATTTATGCATCACTTTGCAGTTATAATATATTAATAAAGGAGATCAGTCAATCTAGTTAAGCTGTGTTTGCCATTTTTAATACGTAGATTTTAATTTGGAAATCTAATTTCAAAAATAACATTTTCGAGGAGCTTTGTAAATAACTATGGTAATATTTATATTTCTAACAGGATACATTTAATAGAGAAAGTTACCGTGATATGAACTAAGTAATAAAGATAGTGAAATAAAAGTTAGGTTGGAGACACATTTTTCCCATGTATTTTAGAAATTAGATCCAATCCAATAGCTTAGAAATGTATTTCATTCAGTAGTTTAAACTTAATGCTCCTGGAGTCAGGCAGGGGAGAAAGTGTGAGAAGTAAACTCTACAATCAGTCCTTGATTGAAAGTTATTTAGTGTGTCAAAGCATTTTGGTGGTGGCACAAGTTGACAATGTAACGCAAAGTACTTTCATGAATAAAGATGAGACCATCAGGGCCGCAGTGAACTGAGTGTAATTGCTAGATGGCAAGTAGGTCCTAGTGAGATTATGATAATAAAAAATGTCAGTTTTACAACTAATGGAAGTGTTCAGAAGGTAGCAGTCTTCTGTCCCTGATACAGCTCTATCTTTGTGATGAAAGGATATTTCGCAATTCATTATCCTAAGCAGTCACACTAAACATGAAGGTTTTTTAAAAAATAACAATTCTGCTAGAAAATTGATTTGCCTTTACTATGAAAACACAGATTGCCTGGCAGTGATGATCATCCTGCCAGCGATGAGTGAGACTAGCTATTGAGGGTGCAGCGGGAACATGTGTCAAACACAGAAGCCTGGTGATGCTAGGCCTCACCATCACCCTCAAGAGGCTTCTCTTTCATTTTCATTGTTGAATAGTGTGGAACTCTCATTGGAAACAAACAAAGCTCAGTAAGAATACAATCAGAATTTGGTCTTATTTTTTTTAATTTAATGATAAAATACTCATTTTTTTCATAGTGCTTCATATAGTGTATATTACAGCATTAATATAGTATTTTATACTCATGTCCATGATTTTTTGTATTATGTGTAGCACAGATTACATCATAATCCTCGTGAAGGATCTCTATTGCTAAAATAAAACAATTTAACTCAACTCCTTATACATAACTTCAACTATCCAAATAATTGTAAGTGTCAAAATATTTGGACTGGTGTACATAAATCAACACAACCATTGATTGAATTTTCCACTTTTCATTTCAATACTTGATAACACAATATCATAACATGATCTAAAAAGACCTGTATTTACTGTGTGTATATTTCGGGTGCTGGATTGACTTTACTTTCAGATAAGCATTCTTATAATGAAAATCAAGGCTTAATACTTGGAAATGGTGCTCTTTTTTCCATTCTGATCTAAAAGAATTCAGATTTTTCTATTTTGCGTGCATGTGAAAGAAATACATGTACAGACATAGTCACATATATCAAACAGAGTAAATCTGTCCACTGACTTCCATGGATTTTTAGAGCAAAAAAAATCATTAAACATGAGCACAAGATTGGGGGTGAGTTATAATAGCAACAAAAAGAAAGTAAAGATGAATTTTAAAATGCCATAAATGAATTTCAATTTTAATTCCCCATTTTCCCATCCAGAACAAGTGCCACCAAGGACCAGTTTTCGAATGGATTCCTCTGGCAAGTATTCTTCAGTACTCACAGTCCTGTGAATGAAATGTCTTCCATTTTGTGTAACAAATCATTTTTCGGAGTAGTATCAGTTTATTAGTATATAATCACTGTGCTAATTTTATTCACCCACATAAGCATGTATTTAAGATATAAGACAGGAAGTCTTACTGAGGTGGGCATAAAGGTTGCCAAGGAAACAAACAAAAGACACAGGAAAACAGTCATATTCATTAATTTCTTTCATACAATGCTTTAGTAAAAGACTAGATTGAAAATCAAGTGCCAAAGAAAGCCACCAGACTGACAAGACCCGTGCTGTCCAATACAGTAGCTTCCAGCCTCATGTGGCTATTGGGCACTTGAGACGTGGCTACCCTGAATTTGGATGTGCTGTAAGATGTGTGTAAAATCCACACCAGATTTTAAAGACTTAGAATAGAATATCATAGTTTTGAGTTTAAGAGCTTTTAATAATAATCAATTTACTTAAAAGGAAAAAATTTTTTGACCTAACCATTCTGAAAATACTTACCAATGTTTGGTTTAGGCTAGAATATTTAATGTTGATATGGAAATGAAGGAGGAAAAGGAAGATTCAGATTTTTTTACTCTTAGGAAGCGCTTTGAACTGCTGATTAGACCACTGGATAGAAAGCCAGAACACTGAAACAATTGCAGAAAAGAGTGTTGCATAATAATAGTACTATTTCAGGTCTGTGAGCTCACAGCATACATCTCTAGAGTGTTTCCATGATGACAGCTCATTATCCATCTCAGCATGTTCTAACACCCCTTGGAGAATATATGTGCTTGAGATCATTTCATTCTGTAAGTTTCCATGTCATTTTTTTGGATACGTAGAAAATATGGAAGATATTGCTTAGCATTTTGTTCTCAAATAATGTCTAAAGTATTTGTTTAGCTTGGTCTGAAAAATCTTAAAGCATGATTGTTCTTATATACTGACTGTAAAATCCTTGTAATTTTTAAGACTATCTTACGCCCAGAGGGAAAATGAGACCCAGTAATTACAGTTGCAAAATGAAAGCAAGATTTAATTTGCGATTCTAAATCTCAGCTTACTGGCCAGAGCAAGCACATTTCTTCGAAATCTCAGCTTTTGAATGTACTTTGTTTAAAAACAAAAGAAGAAAAAGAAGAACCACCTAATAGTTAGGATTACCTTGATATATGTGCAAAATGATACTTTTACATTTTGAAAAATATACGTAACTTAAAAGAGAAAAGTTATAATATAGTTTGAATGTATTATACTACTGTGCAATCCAGATTTTCAAGACAAGAACCAATCCAAATATTTTGTTAAATGTCTACATAAGTTATCAAAATATTCTGGAAAATCATGACTGTATCCAAAATAAGTAGATCTCCCATACTACTTCTCACATTTATAAATATCCTTTATCAAATTGTGTCATGATTTTTGACTCACATATATTTATCATAATTATAAGGCATTTTATTAACTTTAGCTGCTAAGATGCTTAGGTACAGAGGCAAAATTGATAGTAGGAAGTTCTAAATAATGTAATTATGAAGCTAAGTGATAACTCTATAGTAGAATAATACTGTGGTTTATCAGGTCTACTAGGTTGGTGAGTATCTTAAAACAATTAAATTCAAGAAACATTTATTTAGCAACTCCTGCAGGCTGTGCATAATGGAGTACTATAGACAGGCAAAGATAATTTTGCCATCATCAAGGGAGAATGTTAGTGAGAAACAATGAATCCATAGCCAGGACCTCTGAATGGACAACAACCAAAGACAAGAGAGCCAGGGCATGGAGTGTCATAGAAACCAAAAGTAGAAATCACTTCCAGAAGGAGACCTTTCCTCGTTTAAAAACAAAAGAAATCAGAGTTCATAAATGGTACATCAACAGTATCAAATGAGGCATAGAAATCAGTCAGAATAAGAAAAGAGAAAATGGCCATTTGATTTGGTCATTAGCATGTCATCAATGACCTTAAAGAGAGCAGTTCAGTAACGCCAAGAGAGCGGAAGCCAGACTGACAGCAGTAAGTCAGAGATGAGAGAGTGAAGATGAGGAAGTGAAGGCTCCCCTAGAGACGACTCTCCTAAGGGAGAAATAAACGGGAAGAACAAGGGAGTATTTAGGGTGGGGACATCTGAGTTTATTTGAAGGCTGAGGGGAAGAACCAAATAGAGAGTGGGAGATGGCTTCTACTACAGCTAAAATGTGTCTGGCCACATTCACATTACCAAAGGTATAAAGGGAAAAAGTAGAGAAAGGATTCTTTTAAGGCAAAAATGTACTAGCTACTTACCTGATGATGTTAGATTCAAGCAACAGAAACTGTTTAATCCCTATTTAACTCATTTTGTACCTAGTGCATTGGAAATCCAGAAGCCAGGGACGTATTTAACAACCATCCTTGACTCCTGATTTCTTCCTCATATTGTCTTTCCTAGATCTCTTTACAAGGAAAAGCCAAAAAATTAATGCTCTTTCCAGCAAGAAAAATTGAATGAATTCATTCTCTGTGCCAAACTGTGATAATAAGCCCATGGCACTTATGTTTTAATTAAAACATGAAAGGGGATTCAAGTACCAAAATTTAATTGACATGTTTACAGCAGCATCCCATGTGCCAAATTCATCCATAAAAATGCCATTCTTTGCATTTTTGAAGCTGAATCCATTCATAAAATTAATCAGTTGTGTTCAGTCACCCATCCTTTTCCCTAAAACTGTGACAAAGCCATGTCTTTCAAAAGCTAGACCAAGGATACATACAGCATGTGAAGCCTTCCTGGAGTCTTAGTGCAAAATAAGAATCAGCTTTTGAAATTCCGCTTTTCTTTATTATGAGAGAGGTTGTCCTGATACCTGGATGTGGCCATCATTTGCTACTTCTAAAGGTGTTAACTTTTTCAGTATCAGTGGGAGCTTAGGATAAATCGGGACTGTAAATTCTATTCCAGTAGCTTGCCACAGTGGCCATGTAAAGTCCCGTCTGGAATGAGTATTTTAAGATGCTTTATTTCATAATGCCTGAGGATCCTAAGACCAAACTTCTAAGGAAGAACCAACACTGGCGATGGCTGGCCATTGAACACCAATGTCCAAAGAGTGTTCTGGCTCTCCTTAGTCCATTTCTTCACAACCACTGCCTCATCTTGAGTTGTACCAAGCAATGCCTGAGAGTACCCCTGACCGTTCTGCAAAAAAGGCTGAGGAAAAATAAGGTTTAAAAAAGCCAGAAAGAGAATAAATAAGAAAGCAGAAGAGAAAAAAGGATGTTGATGGGAGCCTGCTTGAGTGACATCCAAAGTGACTCAGGTCCCGCTAGGTGTCTACCAGCCCCCTTCCTCTAACAACCTTCCAGGTGCACGGTTTGCAAACCAGCAGAAAGGAGGGATGGTGATTGTTAAATTCTGTCACAATGGGGTGAAGAGTTGGCCCTTGAATTTCTTTGCTTTAAGTTCTTGCATTAACAGGGAAAGAGATAAAGCATGATACAGTAATTTTAAACATGTCGTTAGGCCAGAAGAGCAGCTAAAGGAAAGTATCAGAAACATCAGAATCTTTCAAGAAAGCTAACAAAGCAAGAATGAAAAAGAGTAATGTCTCCTAGCTTTCTACATATAATTTTAGTTATTTTCTAAAGCCAGACTCAAATGGGGGGAAAGAAACCAAAGAAAAATTATCTTTCTAAAAGCTCTTATTTTCCCTTTAAAAAAAAAAAAAGTGCTACTGCCTTAAGGCACAATCTATCATTTAAACTTTTTTTCCAGTTGACTATTTCTCTAAAGTTTCCATGCCCTGCAGCCTCTGAGTCTGTGTTCAAAATTAACAAAGAAATAAAAAATAAATCACGTCTGCTGGCATACTTTTCTAATGAGTCTCTCTTTGCCTCTCTACTTGCTCAAGTACCATGAAGCTGGCCTTCTCTGTCTGAAAGAATGGAGGGTGAAGAGACATGGTTGGCACATATCACCCTATATTTGAAATCAGAGTGGTCAGAGCTATAGTCAGGAGATGGTAATGTCACCAAAATGCACACAAAGAATGGGGGGGGAAGATGCATGCCCCACTCACATCTGTTCTTCAGAGTTAAATAAAATTAACTAGCTAAAATCTGTATTTTCCTACTAAAAAAAAAGAAGTCCTGAGTCATTCTTTAAGGAAAAACTTTCCAGTTTCCCCAGGAATCACAGCATTCTCTGAGATAAGACAACCCCCTTGTACCTTGGCACATCTCAGAATTCCATTACTGAGATTGTCAAAATTTCAGCATTTTGGGGGTGGGGGTAAGTTTTACTTAGCAAATTAAATGGAATCACAGAGTAAACTCCTTTTAGAGTTCCTCATGCAATATGGGTTGGTGCTGAAGCCATTGGAGGAACAATTTCCCACTTACCGTACTCACCAGCAAAGCAAAATGAGAATATTGACAAGAGTAGATGGAAAGTTCTGGTTAAACGTATGCTAGCTCTATCATTTTGTGTCAAAAATATATCATGCTCTCTTTGTAGTTTTTTATGTATATATGGTCTGGAGTCCTCTAGGCTTCAAGTAACCTAGAGAAGAGATTGCTGTGAGCAGTCGTATCATAACCAAGTTCTAGATTGGCATTATGTGTCATCTTCCCATCTCCCCTTGCCTTTCTGCCTCCCTTGGGAGAAGTATAGGTATCTGCTATAATTTTTGTAGGGCTGCTCCACCTGCCTCTAGAGTCCCTAGGGCTTAGCACACACACCAATATGTGATTTCATATATAATACTGTAGACCCCAGAATGAACTGAGTTCAAAAGTCAGTTGTGACTTGTAGAGGGTAGGGCAAAGTTTTCATCTTCCTTTTACCACCCAACTCTAAATATTTAATAGGAATTGAATTCTTCTAAGTTCTCTCATCTTTAAAATATGAATGATAGCACAATTCATAAACGATGACTAACGGATGTGGAGATCCAGTTGGTTAGTCTTCTTTGAATTTTATATTAGTCATTGGATGGTAAAGACTTGGGTTATATGCGCATCTAGTCACAAAAGGGCAGGAGTGGTCATGGAGTCACACACAGTATATACATATAAGTATACATACATATGTGCCTGAGTCAGCTTTTTTCCGGGAGCACTAGACACATAATCAGCTTATGCCTACATTTCAGAAGTGAATGACTTGCCTTCTGTATATCACTGGGAATGCACAGCCCAGGTTGGAGGGCACCAAGGCAAGCCCGGTGTCATTGTGCTTTGTTTACTGTATCACTTCAGCAGCCCCACGTACTGTAGAGCCTGGAAAACATTCTCCTGGCCATCATTCATTGGGTCTGTCTCTCAGTTATGACTGCTACTACATGTCCAAGTGGCTCAGACATTCCTGTCCCATGAGTATTCCCGTCTGAAATCCCATCCCAATTTCCAAAATCATCCAGTTTAAGCAAAAAAGGAGAATTTAACTTAATACTTGCTTCTATCAGTTCTAATACCTCCTTTAAACCGTTAAGGCCCAGAGACCACTAAATACTTCTTAAGCAAAAGGTGGCATTAATAAGTCTTCCTCAAAGTTGATCATCCATCGACATCCTAACAGTGGCCATGAAAGTATGCACAACTCAGTCGTGATTGAGGCATTTTCCCCTGAGGAAGGTTCAAAGGGCCAGGGGCAGAGGGTAAGCGTAAATCATATTCTCCTTAAAAAGTCAAAACATTCGTTATAGTTTTAGTTTATTTATTCTAGGGTTTAAAAAAATGACATTCAGGAGAGTTTCCCAGCTTATTCTTAAGTACATTTCTGTTCTTTCAGCTAACTGCAGAAAAATATCCCTCTTCTAGTTTATTTTGAATATGCAGTGAAGTCAGTCATGAATCTATTAGTTGCTTCCACATTTTAAAATGTTTGAGGGTAAGAGTTCACTTAGACCCAGGCGAATTTCTTCTCCTGAGTTATAAAAAAACAAAGGAGTTTGTCTGAAAATAACAACTTCACTCAAACCCCAATAGAGAAAAGTTTAAATTCTATATTTTCTAATTTTTACAATTTTAAAATAGACAACTTCTGTTAGTCATGAGTTTATATCCCCTCCCACACACATACACACACACTAAATTGGATGCATCCAGTCATAAACAGATATTAGTAAATTACTAGGTAGTACTCTACCAGGTAGTTCCAGGATCTGACTATCTGTTCGCCCACGCTTCTGAAACAATCGTTCTAAGCAGAGTAAACATCCTCAAAGTGACAGCCAGTCTTCTTGAGGCCAATCTGAATGCTGTCAGGAAAATAATTATAGAGGCATCAATTTTTTTTTTTCACTCAGAAAATTTGTATGCTCTTTCTGCCTCTGGTGATACTCTAGCCATACCCTTGGCTGGTCACTGTTAATCCAGAGACTATATAATTTTGGAATACCTACTTTTTTGTTACCATATTTTTTTATCCTCCATGCTCTCCACCAACTCTAACAGCACTCTCATTAATCACATCCACAAAATTAATTTATCATTGGTGTGTTCAGTTCCTAAGAGGGTGGGGAAGAGGCAGGATTCATTACTCAGTGAGGTCTCCTTTGTGCCAGGTCCAGATTATAAGGAGCTGGATGTTCACCTTCGCAGGATGGAGTCTGGATTTGGCTTCAGAATCCTCGGGGGAGATGAGCCTGGGCAGCCTGTAAGTTGAATCCTCTTTATTTCCACACTTTGTGCTATGTTGTGTGTGTACGCATCAGGGGAAATATCATTCGGTATGACATCTAAAAGGAAATCTTTCAGGACTCACATTAAAGAGTTTGAGGTTTGTTTTGTTCTTGCAGTTTAAGTTCTCAAAATGTGCCAGTGTTTCCATGCCAATATATCGTCATAAATCAACGCACATTACATTAAGAGAGGGACATTACTCTTTCTTAGAATGAATTAGATTCCTCTTGAATATTTCAATTATTTAATTGCAATGGACCCTGATCTCTCTGGGCAGCAGTGCACAGGTAAACACACAGCATGACAGAAGACACATGTGAAGAGGTGACTTGGAACAGCAGAATTATCTATGTTTTCAATCAAAAGTACAGGGGAGAGAAAACACAGGGATAAACAGAAGTAAAATCAAGCTCAATGTTGCAGAATCTCAGCCAGATTTGAATTAAGGGATTACCATGAGAAGATGTTCACAAAGTCAACTTCAATGGGCACAATATTGGGAATTTGGGAAGGGCTCTGAAGAAATCTTTATTATTGTACATCAGAGTGAAAGTATAAGATAACAATATTCATCAATATACAGAAAACGCAGCAAAGCTAGATTTATGAGCATGAATTAAAATGTCAGCCATAAAACACTCATTGTAAAAGATGTCTTAAATGGTACCCAATGGGACTAAGTCAGGTCCATGAAAGGCTTGAGTAAATGACACCCCATCCCAGCTTGGGTGCCTGTACCCCTTTCTAGCTCATGCAAGGGACTTCAGCTCTAAGCCTCAGTTTCCTCCTCTGCAAGATAAGGATAACAATAGTTCTCTCTCACAGAGTTGCTTTAAGAATTAAAGAAGATCACATATGTAAAGCTCTTGGTATTGTGCCTGGATCACTTTAGATGTTGAATAAATGTTTATCATCATCATCCCTCTTGTTGGTAGATTGTTCCAGAAAATAAAACTAGAACCACTGATGGGCAGAAATCTTCAGGAGAAAAAAGTTAATCTAACAAACGAAAGGCATCTGTAAAAATTAAAACTGTCCCAAAGTGAAGTAGATTGTCTTGGTAGATGGTGAGCTCCTTCCCAGGAGAGGTGGTCAAGCTGAGTCAATGAGAAGCTTCCTCTGTCCTGCTACAGAAGTAGGACCAGATGAATGATGAGGTCCCTTACTACAGAAAGCTCCAAGAGGCTGAGCTTGGACTCCAAGGATGAGGGCACTCCAGGAAGAAAAGACTCATTTCCTAATTCCTGGGGATAAAATTTGGCAACAGTCAATCAGAATGTCACTAATTCCCCGGCAGCCAGAGAAGATATGAAAGTGCGTTTGCCGAGGAGGACTGTCTGGATTTCCCTACTCATGCTTCGGGAGAAAAGAAGATGCTGAGGCAAAATATAGGGCTCAAGTAACTTCGAACTTAAATGTATTTAGACTGAATTAAGGATCTCATGTCACGGGCAGAAGAAAGAAATCTCAGTGGCACTTTCCTCCCCTTCACCGAGTTGTTCCCCTCTCTCTATCACCCGATTCTGAGTTTTCCAGGGATCCTCAGTCATCTAGTCAGCCCTCCAGCCTCACTCCCCTCTATAACTCATCTTATTTTATAGAGAGAGAACCAAAATTAGTATCAGGTCACTTCACACGTGTAAACATTTAACCTCCTGGCCTCTACAGGGTGTTGATGTGACTTAGCTTCCTTCAGGATTGTTATCTAACATGTTCATACATCTGCCTAGTTAGTTTGATCAGTGGGATTTTAAATTCCTTCTAAGCAGGGACCTTGTCTTTCCCTTTTTATTCTTCTTTAGTGCCCCATAAATGAAAAGTGTGCCATTACCGGGAGTTAGCCAAACTCCAGGTTAAGGTCTGAGTCCTCCCAACTGCCAAACCTGCTCAACACTCCTGACACCAGCTGCAAATTCGGGGTCCCCATGGCCTCCCTCGGGTTCGATAATTCACCAGAACAACTTGTAGAACTCAAAAAGTGCTGTACTTATGATTGCAATTTTATTATAGTAAAAGGGTGCAAATTAGAACCAGCCAAAAAAAGAGGCGCATGGGACAAAGGCTGGAAGGGTTCCAAATGTGAAGCTTCCATTGTCCTCAGGGACGTGTTACCCATTGATGCACAGACCATTGCCAACCAGGGATGCTCATCCAAGTTCTGATGTCCACAGTTTTTATTGGGGTTTCATTCTGTGGGCATGATTGATGGAATCATTGGTGGTTAAGCTCAATATCCAGCCCCCTCTCCTTCCCAGAGGTCAGGCTAATATCATGTGGCTCAAAGGCCCAACCCTCTAATCACATGGTTGGTCATTCTGGCATGGTCAGCCCCCATCCTAAGACTGTTGGTGTAGCTGGCTCCACCCTGCATCATCTCATTAACATAAACTATCAAGTGCCCGCCATGAGTCTCTTCGTTAGCATAAACTCTCAGGTATGGTCCAAGGGGCTCACCATGGACAACAAAGGCACTCCTTTTCCAAGGGTCTAGAGGTTACCTTTCAGGAAAGGCCAGACCTCTCTTTAGGCTGAGGCCAAATTCTTTATTACACAGCTATATGCTTAAAAGACACCAAATGAAGGAAACAAAACAAAACCATACCAAAATAAAATAGCACTTTAAGGTGATCTTTATAGCATTTTGTGGGATACTGGGCACAAGCTGAGACTTTTGTAGGGCATTTAAGGGTAAATTCATACAGAATCCATTGCACTTACATTAGCATAATGCCCCAAACTTACCAACTTAAGTGGTCTCCATCAGAAAGATGAGGTCCCTGTTTGTTCCAGAATGCACTGACTGTTGTCCTTTTTTTCTCTTACCAATCTGTGAGCTCCTTGAAGGCAAAAACCATGTTCTGATGGTGCTTGTGTCTTCCAAGCCTAGCATAGAGCCTGGCACAATAAATATTTGCTAAATGGATAAACTATTCTTCACCAAGACAAAACTGTCACCTGAGCTTCTGAGAACAAATAATGATGTGGAGTTTACATATTTTGAGGCCTCTGCTCTGTAGAATTAAAATGGCCCAATCCTAGAAGCAGGGATGGTGTCCTGGCAGCCCTACAACATGCTTGGTTTAGCTCCCTCAGTGTTTTAAAATCACTGTGCACCAACTAATTTCACATTTTTAAAAGTTCAGATTTCCATCTTCTCTTGAAAAATGCATCTAGCAACATCAAGCTTGCCTTTCTCCATGACAGCCACTGGCTGGAGCTAAGCACTGGGCCCTTTCAGGCCGAGCATGACCACAGTTCCCAAAACTCCTTCATGCCTGTGTTACTTGTCTACTGTCTCTGAGACTCCCATCCCAGAGAATTAGATCGAAAGAAATGGGAAAGATGAATATTTTGCGCCAAAAGAATCTGCAACCAAGGCCAGATCATGGTTTTTATAGGCCCTAAGCACCGAAAATATTATCAGGTCTCTTCTTTTCTACATATAAATACAAACAAAAGATTAAACTGCAAAATAAGTGTAAGTGAAAACAACAAAGTTCCATTTCTTCCCATGATGTTTACTTCAGTACAGTCCAATCAAGTTCTTACTTTGTTGGACTCCCCCTAGGCTCATGCTTTGTCTGCTTTGGGGGTAAACTAGCCCCACATTCAGGAAATATCATCTTCACTGATTTCCCCCTCCCCCAGAGACAGAAGGAGTTGCATGACAGAGTCACAGGGAGAGCATAGTCTCAGATGGCTCAAGAAGGGAGAGGTCTGGATGAACTTTGCCTGGGACAGAAGCAATAGAATTGTTTCCCAAATGGAACACATGTTGCTCAAAATGAAGCTCAAGTGTGTGAATGCAGCCATGGTCACCACCCAGCCTCAGGACAGCTTTCTGCCTGAGTGGTACACAGGTTCCTGGGTTCCCAACGTTTCTGGACATTGGCTTTGCATTCCTGAGTCCTTTCTCCCCTCCAGTGGGCAGGCATCAAGGATTTATGATAAGCCTTCTCAGATTACATGGATTGCTGGTTATCCTCATTGTATTTATTTAGATTTATTCTGGTTGTTTCCTTCATTTGAATGACGTAAGACACACTCATGCTGCAAGTTACAATTTTGACCTTTAAGCCATAAAGTAGAAGCCTAAATCTCCCGGAAGCAAGCAAAGCCAGCAAATAATGAATCTTGAAGACCAGAATGTTGCACCTCAGGAAGACCATGTCAGAAAGTTTGAATCTACTCTAAAGATCTCCCATAAGCCTGTCCTTTCTGTTTTCCTTCCTGTAAGTCCAGAGATAACATACAGACAAAATGCTCTAGCTTCATTTAATTGCTGATGTGCTACAAAGGGAGAAGAGCATGAGATGACTTGGTCCCCAACCACAGGAGGTCTCATAAATTACATCCAAAACGGGTTTCTGTTCCATCTATAAGAAATGGTATTGACATCTCAGGGTGCACATTAAACACGACAACACGGCTTTTGGCAAATAATGAACAGCAGGCCTCCAGCTCAGACAAAGCATATGGGCATTTTTCCTACAAGAGGAAATACTTTTCACAGTTAAATAACAATAGAAATAGAAAGAAATGAAAAATTGCCAGAAAGGAACTAAAATGGAATTTCCAGCTGTGAGCTGAAAAGACATGGGAAGGCATCAAGATGGAAAGATTTGAAAACAATGCAGTGGAGAAAGACCGTTGGGGAGAAAAACTGTTGTAAGTAAGAGAGAGGTAGTGACAGACACTTCTTGGCACAGGAGTCTGGTGCAAACTCATGGAGGACTTTCAGAAGGCAAGAGCCTGAAATTAGCTCGCCGCATTGTCAAGTTGTCCCAGGCTGTAGTTATTGCAGATCAGATCTCCTGGGGTTGGACTAACGTTAGGTAGTGCAGGGAAGAATTAAAGGAGTTAAAAGGGCTGCAAAGTTGGTTTTGGTTCTGTTTGTTCCTTACTTATATGTTTTTGTTTTCTTTTTTGTGATAGTTTTTCTCCCTGGCTGACTTGGATATCAGCTACTTGAAAGTGAATTGCTGTTATTTCATATCGAATACTCTGTTTTGTTCCATGCTCTCACAGCCTGTAAGATAAAGTGGAGTTGTGGAGTTGTTTTGATTCTTTTGTTTTTTAGAGAGGCCATTGGAAAAATAAGGCCATAGGTCAATTGTTCATGGGATAGGAGGGCAGTCTTTCTTGATCTGTTTTGCCACAAAGCTCTTCCTTCAGGCCAACACAATAGAGGAAGGATAAGGAACTCCGAAAGCAATGAGAAAATTGATGAGTGGGGTGAGGGGTCTGCAGAGACTGAAGAATCCGATGAGGTCAGAGGGAGGTGATGAGTGGAGCAAGGCCAGTGTTGGCTGGGAAGGCTCACTGGCCACTGTAGCCAAGGGTCAGCAAGACCAATAGGAAAATGTAGTCTGATGGGTCAGGGAGCCCAGACCATGCACTCAGGGGAGAGCCCTCAGCAGAACTGGAAAGGGACCAGTGTGATGCGGCAGGGAGCTCAGGCCAGGCAGCGGAGGGAGAGTCTTTCAGCAGACTTAGAATGTGACCAGAGAGACCACAGACCCTGTGGCCATTGGATCAAGTGGGAATACTGGGAACCTTGCTACTCAAAGTGTGATAGATCTAGAGACCAGAAGCATCCAGCATCTCCTGGGAGCTTGTTAAACACACAGAATCTCAGGCTCCACCCCAGGCCTGCAGAATCAGACTCTCGGGGTTAGGTTCACAACTCTGTGTTTTAACAAGCTCGCTGGGTAATTCATGTGCGCCCTAGAGTTTGAGAACTACTGGCTTAAAGGATCATATATCCTGAAGCATGTTCTCAAGAGCTTAAGTGAACATGAGAATATATATACATTCCAATATATGAGAAGCCAATATGAGTTACGGTGCAAGAAGAAATCGTAGATTATCTAGTCCCTACGGTTATGGTGGCAGACAGGAAATAAACTAATAGAATGTGTCGAGTGTACAAAGCATATTCAAATTAAAGAAAAAAAATTGTGGATTTTTTTCCTGAATAGAGAGACACATAGAGCTAGCTCTGTGTCAGCAGTGAAATATAATACATGAAGGTGCAAAATGGCCAAAGGCTAAGGAATAACAGCGGCATGAGAGCACACGCGGTGACAGTAGGTGTGATCAGCATCTGCCCAGCAAAGGCAGCACTTCCTGAAGGATGGAGCAAAAGGATGTAATATACATAGCTAATGGACAGGCAGCTCCAATGCCTACTCCAGGTCACCACACTCAGCTTAATTCAAGTTTGTTGAATAGCTATGGCAACCTGTTTTTTGAAACAAGGTAGAGGATGGGTTATATAATGTAATTATGTAAAAATATATATACTTATAATAATTATATAATAAATTATATTGAATTATTATACTGAATATACTGTTTATTTAGAAATAATATGTGAGTTGATAGAACGAACTAAAGTTTAAAGATTAAAGCTTCAGGTTTAAAAAAAAATGTGTCCAGTGAACTTCAATCTTTGCTCAAATGTCAGCTTCTCAGTGAGGCCCGCCCTGACCTACCTTAACACCACCTCGGCCACATGACTGACACCCCCCACTACCCCACTTTGCTCTATTTTTTCCATAGAACATCCCTAGCATACAGCACAATTTACATATTTATTATTGTCTGACCACTAGAATGGAAGCTCTATAGGGCAGGGATTTTTGTTTATTGTTCACTGATGAATTCCTAGCACCTAGAAGTGTCCCTGGGCTCAATGAACTTTTGCTGGATAAATGAATTTGTGAGGAGAGTACCTCGTATCACAGTAATACAGCAGAAATCAGATGTTTTACTGGGATTTTCCTTAATGGATGATACTAAACTAGTAGCACAGACAATAACTTCAAGAGTATCTATATATCTTTACTGTTTTCCTATAGGAAGAGAGGAACAGGAATTTTCCAATGTGGAATTTTGTTTGTCCTATTTTTGTAGAGGGCCCAATTGCAGCTGTGGCTCTGTCAGTTATAACCTACTTTTTGGTTCACTTTCATCCATTAGAATCAGAACTATAGCTTAAATTTGATGATTAACCGGCCAAGAGGTTCACCAGCCATTTTTTCTCTTTAGCTAGCTATAAACTCTCCCACTGAAGCATACAGGAAATCTAAAGGTTGAAGCATGTTCTTTGGGCTAACCCAGCTACACGCAGCTTTTCATGGGGCAGTGGAGAGATAAACATTTTAACTGGCTTTTGCACAAAGCGCTTACCAAATCTTTCAAGCACCCCTTAGTGGGTTGAGTTTTTTGAAGAATAGATTGGAACATCTTTAGAAAGAAAGTCATAAATTCAGGTTGGCATGACAATAAGGGAAAATGGAGAATGTCAGAAGCACACTGACTCCTGGACTATAGCAATGGGTGCGGATTGCAGGGAGGAACTGCACTGTACAGCCAACCTAAGGCAGGAGATGTGAGGCCTTTCCTGTGACGGCAATGAGGAATCACTCCTCAGAGCACTGATATTCAGCATAGAAGCAAATCTACTCCCCACCCAACCCCACCCCCCCAGGCATAGGGGAAAAGGAGCTGGAGTGATAGGGAATTTTCATTCCTATGAATAAAGAGAGCTATGCAGGGGACCAAGGCTATGAAGTCTCAGAAAAAAAGAAAACTCTTCAGACTATAATTTTACATATACCTGAGAAGTCCTGGGCATTCAGATCTGGGCGCCATGTTGACAGGCCACACTGAGCAGTGTGACCAAGAAAGAAGCAATCATTCTGCTACCAAACCTTGAAGACATGCAAGCCTCCAGGTCACGATGGAGCAACTCTGCAAATTAGCTGGAATCCACATATCTGGAGTTGGAAAGAAATTGTTGTGCCTGAAAGAAATCAATCTGTGAGCAAGGGATCATTTTACAAAGACTTAAAATAAAATCTAGCATGTAGCCTCTGTAATATTATTACGCTAATGGTAACCACTGCCTTCAGATGCTGTGCGGCTAAGCCACTTGGCAACAGACAAAGGGTGTCTATTGACCATGAGTTGGAAAAATTGTTTGTAGGTTAAATAGCAAAACTAAAATATTTAGTACTATTGTCTTTCCTCTGAGAAAGAAAAAAAGCCTTGCTACTGGACACTAAATTGAGTTTTTCCAATGGGAAGTGGGAACTTTATGTTATGCCTTTCATGACAGTCCCTGGTTCAGGGAATTATAATAACACGCACATTTCCCACATATGTACCTCTTCATTTTGTGGTGTGGCAGCCACCTAAACAGCAGCAGCATTTCAGGGGACAGGCAGAACTGGGAGCGTCCTTTGTGCAAGGACTGGGCTCTTAGGAAGCATTCAAAGGAATGGAACGAAAATATGGACGTTTGACTGAGATTTTTTTTTAAGTCAACTCGCCAGAAAAGCCAAATCTGAGTTTTGCTTTGTTTTGTTTTGCTTTCTCCTTACCTCCAGCTTTTCAAAGCAAAGCAAATAAACAAACTTTGAACCTGGATCAGAGTTTAATACTGTACAGCAGCAAGTTTCAGCTGACATTTTTGAGCACTCAGTATGAGCCATGAGCGAGGTTAAATGCTTCGCATGCATTATTTCATTCAATTCTCCCAACAACTCCATAAAGTAGGTCCTGTTATTTTATTTCCCCATTTTACAAGTGAAGAAACTGAGGCTCACAGAGGTTAAGAAGCCTTGCCCAAGGCCACAGAAATAAGAAGTGGAGCCAGGGTTCAATCCCCAACTTGTTCCAATTCAGAGCCCGTGCGTGGTGGCCAAGAGCATCAGATTATTTAGGGTCAGAATTTTCCTAAGGAGTGATAACTTACAAGCCAGTAGCAAGTGTCCCCCAAACTTCGTGGCCATCAGCAGCAAGTTCAAAACATTTATTTCTCTAGAAAGAGTTAGCAACCTGGAAGAGTTGGAAGGGCATCCCTTCAGCCTCTCATTTTTCATTTTTCAAGTACATTTTCAGGTTTGAGGCGAGGGATAGAACGTGGGAATGAAGTCTTCCACTGAGTTACACACATATATATAAAGAAAAAAGGTTTGAGACATAAATATCCTTTTCTTCTCACTGCTTCTCTAGATTTTGATTGGAGCCGTCATTGCCATGGGCTCAGCTGACAGAGATGGCCGCCTACACCCAGGAGACGAGCTCGTCTATGTCGACGGGATTCCAGTGGCTGGCAAGACCCACCGCTATGTCATCGACCTTATGCACCATGCAGCCCGGAACGGGCAGGTCAACCTCACTGTGAGAAGAAAGGTGCTATGTGGAGGTATGTCACTAGAGCAGCTGCAAGATTTGGAGGTTAGGTGGTGAGATGCTTTTGTGAGACATAGTAAAGACACTTGAAACAAAATTTTAAATCGTTTTCTATATTATACGAGGTAAAAAACCAACCCAGATATTCCAAATGTAGCTATGATTTTGAAAGTGCAGATTTTCACCCCACTGGTACAAATCCAAGCAGCCTTTGAGCCTACATTTTCAATGTAGTCATTAAAAATTTCTAGCAAAGCCTGGGGCTAATTTAAGATATGTATGCTCTTTGGTAGATGCTGGTTATAAGAAGAACATTATAGTAGTGAAAAACATGGCTTTTGAAAATGTTCCTCATTGTGTTTACAAACCAAGAACCACAGCATTTTGATCCCATAATACGGCAACTAGGATGGAAAATTAGCTTTCATTGTAGACCCTGATAGAAGGTAACAATAAAACTATTACCCTGATTTAGAAAAATACAGCTGCACGTCACTCTGAGAAAACACAATTCATATAACTCCCGACTTATGAAACACATAAATTAGAAGTAATTATTCCCTTTACAACCATTTTCCCAGCTTCCTAAAAGAATCCACCAAAGACCTGCTTTTAAAAGTCATCCCTCATAGTCATAATATGATTCAATTTGTCTCTCTTCACCGTCTCAACCCCCCAAAAAAGATTTATATCTCTAAGGAATATGTCTATTACAAGCATCACACTGTTTTTTATAATCTGAGCCCTCAATAACATTGAGAATATAGTCCCAGACTGCCTGCTCTTTGCTCCGTGAATCACAGGAGCAGCAATGTTGTGTTGTCACCTTCTGCCCCAGCAGCCTGCTGGCCTCTCTGCTCAGCCCCTGATTGCTCCTCCTACAGAATGATCAGTGCTAGAGTTGGGAGGGGCCTTAACGACTGGAGCTTCGTCAGGTTACAGATGAGGAAACTGAGGCCCAGAGGTTCAGTTGCTTGCCCAGAAGTCTTCAGCGAGTCGATGATGCTTATTTTTTATGCCACTTTCAGTCCCTTTCCCCATTCTACCACCATCCCCACCCCCAGTGAATTCAAAGTGTTAGACCAACCTTTAGCAAATGTTGCTCCCTAAGATATGTGCTACTGTTATAACGCATTTGGATCAAAAACAGGGACACTAGCTGATCACATGCTGTGAATGACTACAGAGGTTAAGGTTTGTTAGTCAAACAGAAACTCCTTTTTTATTTGAGTCTTCTAGAAACTAGAGGCTGAGCAAGGGCAATCATTTAAAAGGGCAAGTCAGAAGAACCGTCAGCCCTCACCAGTTGAGACTGCTATATATCTTGTATCATATGGAGGCTTTGCTAAGAGGTGTCATTCGTCTTCAGAAATTCACAGCATACCACTTGACCCAAAGAAGTAAAACACCTTGAATGATGCCTTATCCTTGGTCGAGATGCCAGGAGGAAGACAGTGTTTGCTCGGTTAACGTTTAACTGGTTCTCTCCCTACAGAGTGATTTTTAATAAAAAGTTTGTTGTGCTGTATGTTCTGTAACCCAAAGATAAATTAAAAAGATACCTAATTTACAAAGAAATACATTGCAAAGTGCAAAAGCAATGCACTGACATAATTTCATGCTCCCCTTGCCACCGGCTAATTATTGCAAATTAAATTTTGTTCTAATCAACCTAAGCTATTGGAGTGTGTGCCAAATGCTGCAAAAATGTATTCTTGCAATTTGTGGATCGTGTGACTTCCGTGAAGATGCTTTTTGCTGCAGTTCTTACCAACTTTTACTCAGTTGGGCTTCCAAGTGCGTTTCAAGTGCATTTAATTTTTGAAAATGTTCTGCTGCAGACTGCTCATTCACACTAGGAGAGCTTCCAAGTTAATTCAGCCCACTCTTCCTTGAAAGCTTCATCAGTATTGAAAGTGATTAAGTTCAGCAAAGGATACTTTGATAGTAAAGTAAATGCCTAGAAATAGGATAGAACCGATTTTTAAAAAAGACATAGGAAGACAGCCTTTCTTCATAGCTGCCATTTCTCCAACAGTGAGGAGGGACAGCTGCAAATGGATGTGACAGTGGAGATGCCTTTCCAACAGTTGTTGCTATCATTACTATTATGCTTTCCTAAGCAAAGGCAGTGGGAGGTGTAAGCCTGGCCTTTGATGTGATGGTTCAGAGCTGAGGGGAAGTAAACAGTCAGCTTGTGAAGAGACAGCTGAGCGAGAAGGGGGATAGTGTTGCCACCTTCTTGCACAAAGGAGCGATATTATGGAGAAAGAGCTGGGAAGAAGGCAGGTCAGAGAGGTTATACCCTTCAGCCTTATGCTTGCCTCAGCTTGTACAGATGTCCTGCCTCACCTCGGAAGACACTGGGCACTGGCTTCCTAGTTGATGCTCAAGAGAAAAGCACATGCACTGTGAGAGATACAGAGTGATTAGTTACATTTGGCAAAAATTAGAATAACACAAACACCTGCTCCAAATATTAAAATATAAAAAAGTTTACCCACTAAAGATAGAAAGGCAAAATTTTCAGTTAGGCAATGGCAAACTAGATCCTCAAAAATGAGCAATTGTGGAGTAAAGGAAGAAAACATCCAGTAATGCATCCAGTCTTATTTACCAGATAATTTTAGCACAAATCTTGCACCTTAAACTAGTTTTGAAAGATGTCTCATCCAGCTCCGAAATTTAGGGTTTATTTCCCAAGGATAGTAGAAGAGTGGCTTTAATTATTACACTGAAAGTATAAATATTTATATGTTTAGTAGCTCAGCTTTGAGACGTTCAACCTAATGACACATTATTTTGAATACACACTATTTGTCTGAGAGAAGGGTGTCTCTGAGGAATTTCCTGAAGCGTGGATCTAGAATTGATGTGAAAGAAAGTTTTATGAATTAATCCAAACACGTTCAGGTTCATCTTAAAGCTATCAGCATCTCTTCTCTAACACCTAAGGGAAAGGGATTCTCCACCTAATGCTGAGAAAGGGAAGGTCTTCCTGGCAGCTGGGTAAACAGTTTAACCAGTGGGTAAGGTGCCAGAAGATTCTCTGTCCTGGTTACTACAGTTTTTGTCAATTCTAAATGAATTCCCTTATTCTTTGTCTACAAGCATGTCACCTATTTAAATAAGTCATGTGCCTTGAGGAGTATAAACCAGGAGTGCACAAACTCACATGCCTGCAGGCAGACCGCCCCTAACACCAGCCGGGCCACAGCCTTGGGCTGCCCCCGCTCCATCAGGCACGTGCAGTGCACACGCATGTCCAGGCCCCGTCCACATGCATCCCCCAGTGTCTCAGCCATGCTTCAAACAAGCCACGCACTCTGCAGTGCTGTCATCCTTCTGGGGGACAGTCCTGAGAGGAGGCCCTGGCACACTCTGAAAGCAGGCAAGATCTGTTTTGTTACAGAATTCTAGAGTCCTGGTACCCAGTGTATGATCCAGAGGGAAACGGGGGCTCTGGTTGAACAAGTGCTTTTTCATACTTCTCACTCTATGAGGAAATGAGTACCTCGGGAATTTGCAAGAGACACTGGGGAGAGGTTGGGACTATGGTGACTTGCAAACTGCATACCCAGTCAAGGGAGCAGCCATTGCCCAGCTCTAGCTGATTATTACCAAATATTTCAAGAGAAACTAGAAATCCACATTTCTATAAAATCTCCCTATTTAAAAACATTGGCAATTAATTTTAACAATTATTAAACAAAGTACAGGTCAGTACTGTGCAGGAATAATAAATGGGTCTGCAGGCCAGGAGCAGCCCCTGGCCAGTAGTTGACTGTTCCAGGCAAAACCATCTCGCCTAGAGGGCATTATTGACGACTCCTGCCTTCCCAAATGGGGACCCTCTCCCAGTCAGCACAGTGATGATTTCCAGTATCTTAACCTAAAAATTAATTATTTGGCTTGAATAGATGTATGAATTCTGTACATCCATTTGCATGTGCACCAGAAGGGTGAGTCAGGGATACTGGAAGTTAGTGAATTTAAAAATAAAAAAAAAAAATTACACATGGTATTTAGTCACTTTATGACGTTTTACCATATTATTCTAAAACAACACTGTTCATGCCCTGCATGAGGAAGGGTTGTGGAGAGTAGTCTCTTTTGGATCTAGAGTCAGCTGAGTAGAAAAATGATGTGGAGTCAATTCTATCCCTCAGAGTCAATCACTGGAAGTCTTCCTAACTCCCTGATTTGAAATGTGCTCGTGTTGTTAAAGATGAAGAACTTTGTCCTAGAGGTTGAAAGAGAAGTCCAAACGCAGTAGAAAAGTATCTGTTCGTGTATTTGACTCTCTCGCCCAGTGACCATTCACGCTGACTTAGTTGATGATTTTCTTTCTCCCTCTAGAACCTGGGGCATAGCCACTCCCAGCCATTTACTGGAAAGACAGATCATTTTTCTTTGTTGCCGCTTTACTGACAACCTCAGCTCTCAACCCCCTAAAATATGACAGCCAGAAAATGAGATCTCTCTTCTCACTGCCTATGACATTTAGTTACTGATTTGGTCCAATAACTCAGGGAGATTTTCAATTTAATGTTGCGGCATAATTGTTTGTTTTTCTTCTTCCTGACTATCTCTAATCACTTTATTTCCGACTTGCACAAGGACTGATGAAGGACACTTGCGTCACCAAGACAATGAACGCGTGTCGGTGGATGATGTTCTCCAGCAGGGAGGGCGCATTTTACAGGCAGTTTTAAGTTCTGTTTGAAAAGAAGGAAAGACTTTGACATTGACATGTTATTCTTTTATGACTGAGTACATTTCTTACAGGTGAAAAGCATCCGTTTGTTTTGTTTTGGTAAAACTTGATTAATTAAATCTTAAAGAAAAATTCAAATTTCTCAAATGATAATAAGCAGCAGCCTGGGTCTTATTCATTCTGTAATTACAAACAAGAAATGAATACATTTTTCTAAGGCCGTTTTTAAATCTGGGTAAATGAATAAATGCAGCTCCTTTTTCTCTAGGTATCAGTATAACAAAACATCTCTTGTAGTCTGTGTTCTTTCTTCCTAATCTTTGACATGAAATGATTTTTGAAATGAAATGATTTTTCATTGCAGAATGGAATTGCAGCTTATAAAGTTAAGAGACTTCATTGGAACGTTTGCTAATTATTTCTAACTTGCCACACAAGACACCTTCCAGAGTTCTAAATAGGAGGCCATATCTAGAGACTCAAAAAGGAATCATTAATTGTGATTACTTTCCATCTTATTGTTCCTCTGTTCCATAAACATATTTTGAGTACACTAATGAAATTGTAAGATGGGGATGAAACAGTGCTATTTCTAATTACAGTATTCTAGGTGCCCACTTCAGTTCTTTGAATAAGAATACCAAAACCTAGGTGTTAAATTAAAATGACAAAATTCTTTCTGGATGACAGATCAATTTTTATTTTAAAACCTAGCTTCTCTTGGCTGCCAACTTTCTATCATTTCTCCCTGTAAATATGCTTGCTTTCTCATGGAAGTATTAGTTTGGTTGTCTGGTTGATAATAGAGTGTATTTGTAATAATATGGTATGTAAATGAGCAAGGCCCCAACACCTCCCTTAGAGATTCAAAATTCATCATTCCTTAGCCTGATGTCACTGTTAGATTGAATCCCAGAGTGAGCAGACTACTTTAAGAAGTATGTGTCCCACCTACACGAAGTGAATTGACAGATGGGATAGGATAACAGAATATTACAAAATTAAATAAAACCGTAGCTCTTTAGTAAAATCATGATAGGTCACTTTACATGGACATCCCTTGTCTGTTAGCCCCACTTACAATACCTCTACAGCAGCGTTTCTCAAAGTATGACCTGAAACCTCATCCAGATTCCTGTGCCCAATTTTCTCTATATCTACTGAAATAACTTCCCATGGGTGGACCTTGAAGATGCATACCTTTTACAAGTTCTTTAAGGAATTCCAATCACAGTACAGTTTAAGATTCTGTCCACTTGTTTCTTGATTTTCCTCGATCAATTATTGTTATGCAACTAAGAAGCTTGATTTCTAAGACTAAGCAATGTCCTGGGGTTTACAGTCTAAACGAGAGGAAGATACAAACAAGTAGTAGCACAGAGGGAATTAATGAGAGGTTTTACTTGTGTTTGCTGTGAAGTGTAGAATGGAGTCAAGGTGTGGGGGGCTCCATAGCCAGGTATGTAGGCCTTCAAATGCTCTGCACGTCTGGGAGGAATGGACGCCAGTCAACCAGTCTTGTAACAATGTCAGGGTCTAGAATAGTGCCCAGTACACAGGAGGCACTCAACAAGACCCTTGTTAAATAACCGAGTGCCTGTGTACTATGTGTATTCCAGGGGAGCCCTGCCCAGAAAACGGGAGAAGTCCAGGCTCCGTATCAACCCACCACAGCTCTCCACGCAGTGACTACGCAACCTACACCAACAGCAACCACGCTGCCCCCGGTAGCAACGCCTCTCCCCCCGAAGGCTTTGCCTCCCACAGCCTGCAGACCAGCGATGTGGTCATTCACCGCAAAGAGAATGAAGGCTTTGGCTTTGTCATCATCAGCTCCCTGAACAGGCCTGAGTCTGGATCCACTATAAGTAAGTGACCGCTTCATCTGCCTTTGAGTCAAAGGTCTTGTTTTTATTTGTTCTGTTGGTAGGGATACTGGACAAGCAGATCAGAGGACTGTTGTAGACATACTGCAGAGCCTGAAAGTCACAGGGTGTGGACATAAATAAGGCTTCCTTAACACTGATTAGCCAAATGCTGTTGACCTTTGGCTCAGGAAAAATGCAAGACCACAACTAATGCCCCCCCCAAACCCATAACTCCCATAAAAGCTCTTCATTCTTTTTAAACTGGGAAGAAAATAAAACAGAGTGATGTGGGAGTGTTGATGTGTGGGGCACTCCTGTTTGATAGAATGAAACCAGACATTCAAAGGATCTGGGGGAAAGCAGTCCAGGCAGAAGCCTTAAGGTGGGAAGGAGCTCAGCATTCAGGAAATACACAGAAGCCCAGGGTGGCTGTGGAATAGTGAGCAAGGGAGAGCAGCATGAGACCCAGACTTACAACTAGGCAGGAGCCTGGGCATGCAGGGCCTCATACGCTGGTGGGAAGAAGTCTGGATTGTAGTCTAAGTCCATGGGAACCACTGGAGCATTTTAAACAGTGGACAGAAATCCAACTAATATCTTTAAAAGGTGAGTCCAGCTGCTTATAGAAAATTAAATCAGAGGGAAAAGGGCAAGAATGGAAGCACGAGACAGAGGAGGCCACTAAAACAGCCCTGTGGGTCCAGAGATACTGTGCCTTCCCCTGGGGTAGTGGCGGTGGGTACGGGGAGAAGTGGATGACTTCCGCTTCTGGAGTTCCTCCAAATCTTAGGTTCTATAAGTCTGTAGAACAGGTGACGTCAGAGGTCATGTTTCTCTTCCAATCGGTCATCTTTGTAGTCTCAGTTTCCTTGGCGGTTTTGCTTTCGGCAACACTATTCCAGAAGTCACTCAGCAGCCAGCAAGCAGTAGGACAGAAGAGGCAACTTTTTCTTTTTCACATTGCAGCGGTTTAGCCCAAAATGTTGTGGATAGAAACACCACAATAGAGAGCATTAAGAGAAAAAATAATTGACTCATGTTGTGGTCCTAAAATTCTTATAAATTATGGTTGTTTCCAGCACATGGGAGGTATCAAACATTACTCAAGAAATCAAATGATTGAGAATGAATAAGAACTGTTTATGATAAAGTTAATGTTATCAAAACACCACCAGAACTCAATGGAGAGAATTGCCCTATTTAGCTTTGACAAATTCAAGAATGAAAACTACAGAAGCTTTAAACCTTGGTGAATATGTGCAGAAGCTAAATTACGTACATCTGAAAGTACAGTTTTTCTTCATGATAAGCTGAAGAAATAAATCCAATCTTTAAGCATAAAGTAAAAGCAGGATTCTGTCAGTACGATGGATTCACCAAGATTAAGGGACGCAAGACTAAAGATTTTCATGAATTATATAAACAGCCTTCCAATAATTTACACTTGGAGAGAATATTCAAAGACAGTTTTTGTAGCTATTCTAGTCATTCAGATTGTTTATTGGGGCAGGATACTAAAAGGACTGAAATAAAAATAAAAAGTGTACTACCACAATGAAAGTGTTGAGCATGTATTTAAGGTCCCAGCTTTATTTAAAGTGTGACAGCATTATTGCTAAATGTATAGGAAAAGGTGTATGTGTGTACACACATGCACTTCCTACATAAGGAAACCACAAATGCTTATTACAAATAAAATCCATATATAGGTATATTTGGAAAAAAACAGGTGCAAATGCTGACAATTAACATGTGAATCTTTCTTCCTACCAAGAGACATTAGACTGACCTCAAAAGAATAATTTTACCATTTTCCAAATGGTATTACATTGGTCCCCTCTTATCCGTGGTTTCCTTTCCACGGTTTCAGTTACCTGTGGCCAACCATGGTCCAAAAATATTAAATGGAAAATTCCAGAAATAAACAATTTGTAAGTTTTAAATTGTGCACCATTCTGAGTAGCATGATGAAATCTCTTACTGACCTGCCCAAAACATGAATCATCCGTTTGTTCAGCGTATCCACACCCGTATGTGCTACCTGCCCACCCTCTAGTCTCTTAGTAACCGTCTCAGTTATCAGATCAATTGTCGAGGTATCGCAGAGCTTGTGTTCAAGTAACCCTTATTTTACTTAATAATGGCCCCAAAGCACAAGAGTAGTGATGCTGGCATTTTAGAAAACTGAAATAGAAGCCATAAAGTACTTTCTTTAGGTGAAAAGGTGAAAGTTCTCAACTTAATAAGGAAAGAAAAAAAATCATATGCTGAGGTTGCTAAGATCTACGGTAAGAACGAATCTTCCATCCATGAAATTGTGAAGAAGGAAAAAAATTCGTGCTAGTTTTGCTGTCACACCTCAAACTGCAAACATTACAGCCACAGTGCTTGATAAGTGCTTAGAGGAAAAAACATGGTGTATGTGGGGTTCATACTATCCGTGGTTTCAGGCATCCACTGAGGTCTTAAAACGTATCCCCCGAGGATAAAAGGGACTACTATATTTTACATCACCCTAGAGAGTGGAAGTATATTCTAGAGTTCATGATGGTTCCTGGTTTCTTTTTTCATGTATTCATTTCTTTTCAGTTTTAGGAGTTTGGAACACAGGTTGCCCCCATGTTCTGTGGAAAGAGCAGCTAGTACAGCGACGGCCTGTAGCATTTATAGTATATAATTTGCAACATACACCTAAAAGGTTCCTGGACTTGATGCTGTTTCGTGCTTAACTTCTGTAATAATTATGAGCTCTAATTCTGAAGAGAAATGCTAAGTGCCTCATGAGTGGTTAAGAGCCATCTTGTGCCACATCTCCGTCATCAGAGTATCAAGGGTTCTTGGGCTCTGTGAGACGGGGAGATACTCTCAGGTCCTCCAGAGTCACAGCCATTCCCAGGGCTTGTGTCATTTTTCTCTTCATGCCTTACCCGAGCCCAAGGATCTTGAACACATTCGTGGTTTTCTCTTGACTGCTCAGGCCTTTTCGTTGGCAGACAGAGTGCTGTTATGCCTTTGGTAGGGGCACCGTCACCTTTAGATGAGGGAGTGGTGTGGTTAACAGTCCGGATACTACAATCATACTGCCTGGATTTGAAACCTGGCTCCATCGTTTACTAGCTGTGTGACCTTGAGGAGTTGTGACCTCTTTGGGCCTCAGTTTCCTTGGCTGTAAAGAGAAGATACTTTTAATACCTATATCGTGGGGTTGTTATGAGAATTAAATGAATTAGAACAGCACTAGCTCAGAGTAAGCATTAAATTTGTCATTGTTGCTACGTAGACTACCATCTCTACTAGGAATGATCTTTCCATTCTATCAGCTCACTCTTCTCAGATAGTGCAGAGTTCACACTGGCTGTCAGTTCAGTCACCCATTAGTCTGAGCCCCCCACTCTCCCAGAGCAGCTAATGGGGGGCAAATGAGCATCTCTGAGGCCCAGCACCCGCTTCCCATGTGCTGACCTTCTGGGAGCCCCATCTTCCCCACCACCCACCCCCTGCAGCCTGGGTCAGTGGTGGGGGCAGTTAGAGCAGTAGCCACCACACCAGTCCAGCTGAGTGTGCCTTTGCTGAGGCTTCAGGCTGGAAGTCTCTCCAGAATTCACTAGCCAATAACCTAGAAAGGTCATGGAAAACACCAAAATTCAGACTCAAGGCTGTCTTTTAGAACCTCACTGCAAACATTATGTCTCTATTGCATATATCAGAGAAAAGAGGAGAGATGGAGACCCCACATGTAAACCTTTCCACCCTACAGATAAAGAATTACCTTCCACAGCTTCCTCAGCCCAGGCAACAACTTTGCCAAGAATGCCAGAGGTTTAACCAATTGAAAACTTGGAAGTTTCTGGCTTATTATTGCCTGGCATTCAGTAGGGCTCTTTACCAAAGCCTCACTTTTTTTTTTCAAAATATTATTTCCCCAAAAACAAAGAAAACAAATTTTTACATCAATTAATGTAACTAAGGAGCATACTGCTTCCTTCCAAAGCCGGTGACCCAGGAGGCCAACTATTGCTTGGGAGGAAACAGAACTTAGAAGCCTTCTATCTGAGTGCAGGAATATCCTTCTTGATTTAAAGTGAAAATAAGCAAGCTTCCTGAGCATTTTTGTCCCATTATCCAAAATATTAAGTATTTTTTTCAGACTGTAAAATTGGACCCAAGGGAAAACAAAGTGGTTTCCAGACCAGAGCCTCGGTTAAGAGTGAACTGTAATAGGCAATTGCATTTAAAAGTCTTTAAAAGATTCAAACAAAGATTTATATACAAAGATGTTCATTGCCATTTTATTGATAAACACAGAAAGTCGGACATAATGTCAGAAGCTTCTCCCAAACTGGAAACTTTGGTATTTTTGTGAAGTTCAAGGCATTTGCTGCCATTGGCTAACTGTGTCTGTATACACAGGATAAAGAAGACTCAGGTAGCCTTCTGCCTCAGGGTGGATCAGATGCTTGCTCTATAGCAATGGCCCCATGGCCATGTGCAGTGGGGTTGCCAGGTTGGTCTTTGGGCCACCCCAACTCAAAGTCTGAGTCCTGAATTCCAGGTTTTATTGCAGAGCTGTAACCTGTCCTTCCTGCTCACTACCCCTAAACCTGCTTTTGCACCAGAGGTTCCCAAGAAGGGCTTTGGCACAAATGATGAAATAAAAATGACCTTTAGTCTCCTGCTTTTCTATAATTTGTGAGACAGGCTATGTTGGAATTTATGGGGTAGATGTACATGGGCAGATTGAACATCAGTGGTGGAGGCTGACAGCCTATTGTGGGAATTTACAAACTTAGATGCAGGCCCTTAGCAAGCTGAGGTAGAACATAATCAGGACAGCAGCCATAGCAGCAATGTAAGCAGTCAACAGTAGGGGAACCATCACGTCACCCCTTCTTTCCTTCATTAGTATTGTCCAAACAGTGTTGACTCAGTTTTCTGTGGGGGTGGGGGTGTGGCCTCAGGAGCTACAGAATCAGGGGCTGGGCCTTTCTGGAGCAGGGTGA